TGAAATATGCTTAAACTGGCAAATGGTACCAAGACTAACTCATAAACTGTATTTATTAGATGGAAAATCTTGGATATACTGTACCCAATGTGTAGGACGTTTGAGTAAATGTAATTATTATTATTATTGTTCTCGTTTCTTAGTTGGGACAAACATATGTCTAAATGGGCATGAAATGTAACATACAACTGTCGGTAATTGAAACATTTACTACCTCCCTTTATACAAGAAGGTTGTTTGGCTTCCCAAATAGGGATTGGGGGCGGTAGCGGTAAGGATGCACTAAGGTTGGGCAAATTGAATGAGATATTCTTTTGGAGGACGAAAAGTTGTAGTTGTTGGAAATATTCTATAGGCATGAGCATTAATGGTACAAATGAAGAAAAAAGATTGTGCAAAGCACCGCTCGCAGCATAAGTTCACTTGGTGCTCCTGAGCTTCAGCTCACTCTTGCCGTACATTTTGAAGACAATGTTTCCTCCCCTTGGGCAGTGTCTGACGTGGAGTAGGGGACTTAGTCTCTGGGGTGTGCATCCATACTGTAAGAATTAACATGGTAGCTTCCCCTTGAGGAGATTGCATGGAATAAAGCAGATGCATATACTTCACTAGATAATGTAAAATTCCTTCTTATTTTCCCTCACAGTGCCCATGATATACAATATGCCCTTGCCTACTATGAAAGCTAATCATTTAGGGCAAAATATATTTCCCAGTAGTAAAAAGGAGTGATAAACTCGTCAGTACAGGTATTTAGAATGTTTGTTCTCATTTCTGTGTTTGCCACCTCATTAATGGTATCTACTTTTGGATGTTGTGATGGATGTTGCTTGTTATATTATATTCTCTTTGAAACTAATGGTTATAATTTTTGTTTACAGATCTGTACAAATAAAAATAAGAATTAACCAAACTCCTGAACATCAAAAAAGAAATAATGAAGAAAGAACAAAACATAAATACAGAGAAGGTAAGAACTCGTGATCATTATTGATTATGTCTTTTTTCTTTATATTTATTTTATGGACCTTTTCATTAGGAAAGAGTGCGTGTTTATTCAGTTACCTTTAAAGAATTTTTTTTTCTCCAAGTCCAGCCCTTTAAAGCATTGCATGGGATCTCATTCATCTGATTTATAGCCTGGGGGGTGGAGGGGATTTTAGGCTGTCAAGATATATAAGTGAGTCGTCTATGTCAAAAGTCTGTTCTTTATGACTGCAAATTGTTTGTTCTGTCATTTTAGAGTTCTAAAATTCTAGGCAGTTGTTAAATATTTGAATATATGGTTTTGTTTTTTGAGCCACTTTTGTTGGAAAGGACAGAATATTGTGTTACATATAACATACAGGTGCTCGATTTGGGCAAAAAATAAGAGCTATCATAAAAGATATTTTCTGCACTTTACTATGGCTATGAAATTATGATTTATACTAATAAGAAAAAATGTTTCATTGTCAAAGTACACATCAGGAAGTGGGAGTTTTTTCCAGAAAGTTTCCATTAGCATGATTTGTGTTGGCACTGTATAAATCTTATAATTTTGGTTGATGAAATTGACTTTTTCAAAGGATTAAAAGAAAATAGGTTGAGAATTACAATAGAGTCATTAATGCCCTAATGCTACAAGTTACCCAAGATAGGAAGGTGAAATTTCATCTGATTTTGTTGATGTAGAATATTACTGAATGCCAATTCCCTGTCACGCTAATAAATATTTTTCAAATTTCACAGATGAAAGGCAAGAAGTGGAAGGAGAAGAAGAAGGGGAAAAAAGCCTCTGGAATGGAGGATGATATGAAGGAGGTCCTGGCTGACCCTCGTTTCAGCCACGTGGCTTCCGACCTTAGGCTGAGACACATGCCCAAAGATGAACACAAAGTCAAACTCGATAGTCGCTTCTCTTCAGTACTAACGGTAAGTTTGCTCTCAATAGTCAAATTCAACAGTATTTTTTGCTGTTATAATTTTTATGACTTGTTATTGTTATGACTGTGATTATTATAATGATATTTATAATGATATTATTATTATATAACCATTATTATTATTGTTATTATTATTGTTATTATTATTGTTATTATTATTATTATTATTATTTATTATTATTATTATGCTGATGATTATGATTATGATTATGATTATGATTATGATTATGATTATGATTATGATTATGATTATGATGATTATGATTATGATTATGATTATGATTATGATTATTATAGTTAGTATTGTAATTCTCATTTTTTTGTATTGTTGCTAATAGTGTTGATACTAATGATTATTATTATGATTACTTGTATTATTGTTATTGTTATTATTATTTTATTATTATTGTTATCATTATTATTATTAATATTATTATTATTATTATATTATTATTATATTACTATTACTATTACTTTGTTGTTACAGTTATTATTATTATCATTATCATTATTATTATTATTAACCCCAAGCCGACAGGTATGGCATGTACGCACATGCCATTGCCCATTGTGTG